ACTTTTGAGAGGATGGCATCAAGGTGGCGTTAATTGGACTCATCTTCCTGACATTTCAAAATGTTTGGAGCAAGCCGGAAGCACTTATATAAAGTTTTTCCAGCTGGTGTCGGGTATCCTCCTAATCACTATAAGCTTAGTTTCTCTTCTGTGGTCCCAATGGTCAAAAAGGAATATTGTGACTGTGGTTTCCTTAATGCACTTGTTCCCTGGGTTTCTGGTTCTATATTATATCATTAGATATCAAGAACTTTCGTTCGGTACAGGTAGCTATGATGCTACTTTAATGGCTCAGATAATTTATGTCGTCCTAGGTTTCTGTTCAACGACTATTGTTGTTGCTGTACCATGGTGTATACCTCTCCAAAATCATACGCTTTCTGTGCATGAAGTCCGCTTGCCCAGCCAAAGAAAGGTTTGGGTTTTAGGTTTCAGGAATTCTGCCTATGTGATTGGCTTGAGTTACGTATATTATTGGTCTCTTTTACAGCTATTGTTGCAGCAGCCCATAAACTCATTGCCTGTACTAACTCTCTTCTTGCAAGTACTAGCTAGCATTTGGTATTCTTCCGGTTCCGACCAGCATCTCAGGCAATGGGTTGAGGTCAGTTAGATCTTTTAAGTATTCATCAAAGTTCTCTTTTTTGCTTCTGCCTTTTTTTGTATTTACGATGTTTTCTTTGAAATATCACGAGCAACTTGTAAATTCCTAGTAGACCTAACTTGTCCTTAAAGTAAGAATCTTCAAACTCATTGCGAAAACATTTCAATTTGCAGAACATGTCAATTAACATGGATAGTCCTATATTAGTAATTTCTTCTAAAAAGCACGCCAGTTCACACAGACTTATCTTTGATTTTTTAAAGAAAAATCATAATGTTTTGACTATCGAAACAACGTGTAATAATCTTCCTAGATGTTTCTTCCCTAAATATTTAAGTTTTATAGTCAAAATTACATTTATGCTATTACTAATCTCTCTTAAAGTTGGTTGACTGTTGGAAAGTGAATAAGGTTAATTCAAATGGGAACAAAGGGAGTAATGAGAACATAAATATATGACTAAAGGAAAAGAAAGCAAAACAAGAATATCATCAATATTACCAAATAAAATATGACCAAAAAAAAAGAAAGAAAGAAAAAAAAGGCAAACATCATTTGATGAAGATGACCATGATTATACTTGTGTTTTCCGTACTACGAAATTCAACAAATATCTTTGTTCATCCTGAATTTGTTTTAGTACTAATGCAGGGAAATATCCTTTGCTTGGATGAGGGTTGACATTTAACTCTTTTAGATTCTGGAACAACTAAATAGATGTTTAGCTTCTCTATTGCTATCAATTTCTATAATTCTATTCAATGTTCGCTAACATTCAACTTGAATTAGTCTGGTCATGTCCACTATTGTTTAATATACATAATATTTTATGTGGTATTAACAACTCTTGATACTCTAACTGCTCAATACTAGTATCACAAGTCTTATTTTTCTCCTTTTTCCGTGTCAGGTGGCTGCACTTTATTATATGGGAATGGCAGGCCATTTTGGTCTCGGCAACACCAACACCCTAGCTACAATCGATGTTGCTGGTGCTTTTATTGTAAGTCTCTTGCCCAAAAAATCTTTAATGTTGTGGTTTCATGCTAAAGTTTCTGTGCGCTTCATATTGGAAATCATCCATATTGAATCTGATGTTCCTCATTGATTTTATTTCCAGGGTGTCTTGAACCACTCGACTATACTTTCTGGCATCTTAATGTTCATTATTACATATGCTTCACCATTGTTATACCTCCTTAGCATGGTGATGTACACTTCTGTGAAGGACACAAGTGGTTGCGACATCGGATCTTTGCTTAAGAGGACACTTAGTTTTCCTTGTCTGGTTCCGTTGGGCTTGAATTCCATTCTTTTGATTGCTTACACAATTGTGTTGTTGCTAATGAGGAATCATTTATTTGTTTGGAGTGTATTTTCTCCCAAGTAAGTGCCACCAAAAGTTGAAATCAAGATACACACACATATATATATATATATTCTGCTTTGTCATATATCCAACTTTTTCTTTGTAAAACAACGGTACCGTTGTCTCCGTGTGACCTATTGGTCACGGGTTCGAACCGCGGAAGCAGCCACTAATGCTTGCATTAGGTTAGGCTGTCTACATTACACCCTTGGGATGCGGCACTTCCCCAGACCCTGCGTGAACGAGGGATACCTTGTGTACCGGGCTGGCCTTTTTTTTTTTTTTTTTTTTTTTTTTTTTGTAAGACAAGTTGTTTAAAATAGTTATGATCCTTTGTTATTCATCTGATTTTGAATTTGCATGGTGATTAAAGTGACCTTTCTTTGTTCAGGTTTTTGTACGTTTGTGCTACGACGGTTTGTGTCTGTCTTGGGGTATCTGTTGTAGCATCAACTGTGATCTATATTTGTTTGGTCTTGGCGTTCCGTGAAAAGTTGCAGACTCATACAAACTAGTCTCAAGAAAGAGTATGACATACAACTAACCCGATCCAAGAGGTATGCCAGTTGCTTTAGCCTTTAACCTGATCTGAACGTTCCGGGGAAGTTGTGGATTAAAAGGAAGCATGCTATGCCACAATCTAGCTTTCTCTATATAGCGATCCTTACTTTAACCAGAACAAATTTGACAGGAAAACTTACACCATAGCAGTTAAATGATTCTTTTTCTGCACAGCAGCCAAAACAGTTGACTCAGAAAACTGAAAATATTGAGCTGTAGATTTTAATTACTAATCGAATTCTTTTTTCTTGCTATTCTCCTATAGGTTAGAACAAGTTTTGGCATTTTCAATGTAATATCTGTGGCAGGTTGACTCTGTGAATGCACCTTTTAGTCTTGAAAGGCTTTTGTAAATTGTTGTATTTCTTTTTATTTTTCTCTCTTTTATCAATTTGGATACATAATATAGATTGTTCATGGCTCAATTTTGGACTACCAAAAGTGATATGAATACAACTATGTTTGAACTTCTTGTGTGAGTGTGATATTCTTTGGTTTTTTATTCATATGGGTTTTTTAGTTTTATATGTAGTACTTGGTCATATCTCTCCAATGGAGACGGACCTATGCTAAATTGAGAGGGGTTACCAGCACCTATAAAGTTCGGCAAAAACTTCATATATAGTTATATACATGTATATGTTTTTAGAAAATAAAGGGTGGTGGATTTGTGTCTTAGGTCACAGGTTCAAGCCCTCACACCATGCAAAGCAAAGCCTGATATTTAAGTGGAGATGGGTAGAGGGGCGAGCTCATTATCCACCGAGTTTCGAAGGCTGCGGTTGGTCCAAAGGATCGGTCCCAGACGGATTTCTCGGTCATCAAAAAAAGAAAAAGAAAATAGTGATATATTAGTAGGGAACACCCTATATATAAAGTAGATTTTGGTTTAATCCAAAAGTACGCCTTCGACCTTGCTTTGGTCTCGATGTTTATGAGTTAATACAAGATGCTTAATTGATAAATTTTCAACTCTTCACTAAAACTAAAATTTTAGAAATTATGACCACTCACAAATTCCACTATTCCAGTAATCTTATCAAGAACCAAAAATGTGAAAGAATAAGCCTTTTGGGTTAATTGCTGCCCAAGAAAGCATTTGACAGTTATACGTCCTCACACTTTGGTTAGTTACCAAGTTTACCCTCATAGTTATTAATTTTAGATTGGTTGGCTTTTACATTAATTATTATCGTTATACCACTTAAATAAAATGTTAAATCATTTCCATTATACTACTTCAAAAATTTATATTTATTGAGTTTACGTATTATGTAATTTTTGAATGAATTACGTCAACTTCCCTAGTTTCTATAGCAGAATTTTCAAAAGAACTTCTCTACTATAAATTTACGATAATAATTACTTCTTACATAATCTTCAGCCAGAAAAATGAAATAAGGTGATTAAATGGATTAACTCTCATATTCCAAAACCCATTCTTTTTTAGAACAAAAAAAGAAAAAAAGAAATTAAGAACTATTAATACTGCCCCAAATCCCAAAAATAAGCATGTATTTGAATAAACTCTTTTCCAATTATAATGTCAAAAATTTACGTAGAGTTAATCCAAATAACAGCCCAGCTAATCGCTTAAACTAACAAAAGTCACAGAATATACAATATATGTATAATTCATATATTATATGTGTATAATTATATATAATTAATGTATAATTTATGCATATCGACTAAAAAAAGTAAACAATGAATTTGGCTGATTATTTGCATTAAAATTATATATAAAAAATTTACACTGCAAGTATTTTCATATTTTAAAAAAGCTTACATATACATATCATTTAGGTTATCTAATAATGTAAAATTTTTTTTACACCGACTTGTACTATATAATGTAAACTCATGTTAAATCAATTATATATAATTGAACTAATTTTACACTAATCACTAATTTAACCGCAATTTGTAGCAAAAAATTATAAACCCTTCTTCCAAAATCTCCATGTCCAAAATCGTCATTTTACTTTTTCTTCCGATAACATCCAAATTTCACCTCTTCAAAAAATAACCCTTAAGCTTCCTCCCCTCCACCTTCTTCTCTATTATCTCTGCAACCAAAAAAATATGGAGCAAAACGGCAGCAGCTCCAATTATTCAAAAGCTCAAACTTATCTCACTGCCTCTAAATCCTTTCTTCAACATCGAAATTTCCAAGACTCCATTAAATACGCTCTTAAATCCATTCAAAATGACCCAAATAACCCTTCCCCTTCACAAATCCTCGCCATAGCTAAAGTCCTTTCTTTTTCCTCCATTGCCGAAGACACAAATTACTATAAAGTCCTTGACCTTCCTCTTTATACCCAAGATCAACAACTCATCAAAACAAACTTTACGAATATAACTAATCTCTTAAACCCTAGTAGAAATCAGTATCCTTTTGCGTCCGAGGCTTTTCAGGTTGTACTTAAAGCTTGGTCTGTGCTTTCTAAGCCGACCCATAAGACCCGTTTCGATGACGGGTTGAAAAAAGGCGGGAAAACTGGTACTAATTTTTGGACTGTATGCCCGTACTGTTACTATGTGTATGAGTTTCCTAAGGTTTACGTGGATTGTTTGCTGAGGTGTCAGAATGACAAGTGTAAACGTGGGTTTCACGCGCTGCCTATTGTGGGTCCACCTCCGCCGGATGACGTGGCGGAGAAGGGCGAGTATTATTGTTATGGGTTCTCTGTTTTGGGTTTAGAAGGAGGAGGAGGAAAGTCTTTGTGGTCACCTTTTGTGAAAAAGAATGATGACGTCGCAGTAGAGGAGGATGAATTTGATGTGGATGAGTTTATTGAAATTTCTGATGGTGATGATGATGACGTGGTAGCAGAGGGGGGTGAAAATGGTATAAAGGATGAAACTTTAGGGGTTGAAAAGACATTTGTGAAAAGTAATGGTACTAGGAAGAAGAGGATAAAAATGATGGCAAAGAGTTTAAAGAAGGTATTAGGAAAAGGGAATAGAGTTAATATGAATGAGGTTGTTTATTGTGAAGGAAATAATGAAAATGATGATTTTGAGTTTGTTAATGTGGAAGGAAAGATTAAGACTAATGAGAGTAATGTTGAGTTTTTTGTGGGAGATGATGATAATATCTATGTTGGTTTAGAAGAAGATTTTGATGTGGGAATTGGAGATATTGAGACTTTTTTTAAGTGATTAAGGAAGTTGTTTTCCTCTGTTAATATGTTTCTAATATTTTTGTTGTTGGGGGGTTGGGGGATACAATTTAATGTTACCAAAATTGGCACCTTTTTGAATAGGTGGATACTGATGCTAAATGTCTAATGCAAATGTGATTGAAATGGTAGAGAATTGACATGAATCTTTATTTTCATTATTGACTTGCAATGTGTAGCTTTTTGGTTCTTTTTTGAGTTAGTATAAACAGCTTTAGAAGGTTCTTGTGATGAGTAATGATAGGAGTGAAGGTAGTCTTGATGTAACTGGTAAAGTTGTTGTCATGCGATCAGGAGGTTACGGGTTCAAGGCGCGGAAACACCCTCTTGCTGAAATGCAGGATAAGGTTTTGTACAATAGATACTTGTGGTCCGATCCTTTTCTGGGCCCTGCGCATAGTGAGAGCTTAATACACTTGGGCTGTCCTAGTAATGATAGGAGTCTTTATTGATTAAGATGCAAATATGCCTACATGACAGAATTGACTTGGACCTTTATTTCAGGCAAGTTTCTTGTAATGATATGGTACACTATTGAATTTAAAGTAGGTAGGAACTTGGTGGTTCCCCTGTTTGTATGCAATTCTTTCTACTTCATTGCTGCAGCAGGAACAAGGTGCTCTTGGCAAATAGTAAAGAACATAGTATACTTATTTCTTCTGATCAGTCTAAGTTTTGGTGGATACTGGTTCCTGTGCTGGTGAGAAGTAGTGTTTTGACATTTGCAAAAATGGACCCTTTTTTAGGCTACTCTTTAAATTTTATCCTCAGTAATCCAGTGGCCAGTTTCATAGTATTGTGATTGTAGTTACTTCTTTCAAAGCCCTTTGGTTACTTTATGCATTTTAGCATCAACTAATTCTGTTTATTTTAAAATTTCTGCTCAAATAAAAATAGGGATAATGCGGTGCACGAAGCATTCTGTATTCACGCAGGGTCGGGAGAAGGACCGCATCCCAAAAGATGTGTGTAACAAACTCTTCCATGAAAGACCAAGAACAAGTATGCACCATATAACTATAAAGACATAAATCTTGGAAGTACATGACTCCCAACACAAGCTCTCACAAAAACAAAAAAAGTTAACAATCAAATTATAGAAATTAATAATGACCAAAGTACATTATACTCCATATAAAGATAAAAATAAAGAACTCAAGGATACAACTTAATGATGCAGAATTACATATAAGATAAGTACTTGGTGTGATCATTAGTTTGAAGGGGGTGGTGAGAGGGTTGGGATATTTGGGATAGTGGGAAATGAGGGAATAGTAGTTGGAATATTTGGCACAGGAAAATTAGCAGGCAATGGAGGTATGCTCATAACTTTTGGGACTGAAGGAATAGTTGGTAAAGATGGCAATGTAGTGGGCATATTTGGGATTTTTGGCATTGTAGGTTGTGGCAAAGATGAAATTTGCAATAGGCTACGAGCTGCAAAGCTATGGCTAATGCTTGTCAAGGACAAAGTAATGACAAAGAAGAAGATAAAGCAATTCTTGAAAATGGCCATTTATGCAAAAGATGATTTGGAATGAATGACTTGAGTTCTTAAGGAAATTAAAGGAAGTGGAAATTGTTGTTTGGATTGAGTTATGGGTAAGTGTAAATCCATGTATGGTTATATTTGAGTATATATAGAGAAATTTATGTTGAAGGATTCAAAAGTTAGGATAAAATGTGGTTGTGGAATCTTGGAGGATTGTGTTGTTTGTTCACCTTCATAACCTAATGCAAATTATGGTTTGAAAGATATGTCAATTCTTTGAAGTTCGAAAATGACTTCAAAGAACAAGAGACGCATTCATTTTAAGGTTATTTTTAGAATTAATTTCCACAAAGTTTGTTTGAACCATATCCAATTGATATATCTAATTGAATGACAATATATATGGCTATTGGCTTGCCTACCTATCATCATAATATATTATAAAGATCAATAATATATTGCAATTTTTATAAAAATAGTCGGCGGATTTATTGTTTACGTTTTTTTAGCGGATCCAGAATTTAAACTGTATAGGTTCAAACTTTAAGGTTCTTAGTATTGAACTCATTATATCTTTAAAGTTATGAGTTCACATCTACAATTTATTGCAATTTTTGCGCACAAATTTGTACTCCGCGTTGAAAGTTATAAGTTCAATTGAACTCGTTGCTATATATAGGGCTACATTTGTCCCTGGTTATACACATATTATCAGAGGCGGATTTAGGATTTCTCGTAGATGGGTGCACTACAAAAAAAAAGGAGACAAATATATATAGTGGCAATCGATCCCTATACCTCTTGGTAAATAACTCAGCCTTCTACCAAGTGCACCATTCAACCTTCTTAGAGCATGGGTGCCAACAATTAATATTATACCAATTTAAAAAATATGTACATAAAATATTTAATTTTACGGAAAGATCATGGGTTCACGTGCCCCATAATTAAACCTATAAATCCACCCCTGCATACTTACATCCGCCATCTATTTTTAGTTTAGACAGTTTCACATCTGGCTATTTGGATTAATTCTTCTTTTTATTTTTGAGCATACAATATTTCTTGTGTAAAGTAATCTCTGAGACATAGGGATGTACAAAGAAAACCGATAAACCGCACCAAATCGATAATCCGAGTCAATCCGAAAAAAAGAAATCCGATAGTGGTTTGGTTTGATTTGGTTTGGTATTGGAAAAAAAACCCGACCATAATTGGTTTGGTTTGGTTTTAACTAAAAAAGTCAAACCAAACCCAAACCAACCCGATAGTATATTTATACAATTTTTAAAAATATTTTATATTTATGAATATTTATTGTAATGTAATTTATAAATATTTTTTAAACTTTTTCACAGTTTTATCTTTTAACGTATTATTTCAAGTTTGGATTTAACACTCTTGAATGGTGAATAAATTTTATAACCCATAAATATAGTAACTCAAATAAAGTTCAAATCAATACTAATGCTAACAAAAGATTCAATTCAACACTAGGAATGGGTGGATGACGATTGTGTTGGATATATACTTTTTAGTTTTACGTTGATTTATAATAAAAATTCATAACTTAGTTTATCTTTTTCTTTAGTGCTTAGTTATGTAATTAATAGTACTTATTAGCTAGAATACTTATTTTAACATGATCTATATAGTATTTTTAGATTATGTTAATTTTTATTATGGCTCATTAATTAGCAATATTTGTTTTATGTAATTTTATTATCTTTGTTATTGAATATTTTAATATAAAGCTATGACTTATCTCATATTATTATGTTATTTTCTTGCAAAACATATTATATAGTTGTATCTTACTAAGACTAAAGAAAAATTTGGAACACAGGTTATATATTTTGTGTTAGGAAGACTTTACTAGAAAAAAACCCGAAAACCCGAATAAACCCGAAAAAACCCAGATTGAAAAACATGATTTTCTTGGTTTGGTTTATAAATTTAAAAACCCGATACCATTAGTTTGGTTTGGTAATTGAAAAATCTGAACCAATCCGACCTACGTAGACCCGTACTGAGACATACGTTGCAAAGCACCCTACCCAAAAGTGAAAGTACAAGAGGGGAGGGGGGAGTGAATTATATATTTTTAAACTTAATCTCTTATTAGTTGACTAGATGCAATGACCTAACATTTATAATAACAGAATGTAAAACACAGAAAGTAAGTGAAGGAATTAAAGACACCAGAATTTTATACTGGTTCGGATTCAATGTGAATCCTAGTCCAGTCCCCTTCGTTTGCAAGGGAGTCCTCTTTAATAAATGCGTTTCTCCGAGTACAATGGAAATGACTTGGTAGCTCAGTTCCTATAACACTCCTCTCTTTTGATACAATGCCTCACCAGTGTTGTACTCTTTTTTTTCTCTGACTTGTTACACAACAGATCATAGAGAACTACAATGTTTGTTTGCAGTAAAACAAAGAGAGGGTTTTTTGGTTCGATCAAAGTATATTTGTCTAAGGCTTGAAGCTGAGTATAAATACTTTGGTGAAGATCGTTTGTTGACAAGGCTTGACAACCCAAGAGATTTGATCCTTGGAAAGAAATTGATTCTTTCCAAGAATAAGATTGCTTGCCGTTGCTCTTCCTTGACAACTTTCCTTCTACAGTTGTTTATGATGAAGGTTTACTCCTTGATTGTTGGTCCTTCCGAAATTAGCTGCTCAGCTACTCTTCACAGAGTCTTCGATCTTCCGGATTTGAATATGCTGGTCTTGATTAATGCCTTAAGTTTAGGCTTGCTTGATTCTTTCCATCGCAGCTGTCCGTAATCTTTGCTGATTGATTTCTTTCCTTAAGCATCCAGGTTTTCTGATTGATTCGTAATCTTTGTTGATTGATTTATTTCCTTAAACATCAATATTGACTTCAACGATCTTGTAGTAGCTCCTTGATTCCTTTTTCTTCTATAAATACCAGTTGACTTCCATGTGTTTTACTCCCCCTCAATGTATGTAGTTGACTAGTCCATGGTACTCCCCCTCAGTTCATGCAGTTGATTAGTCCATGGTTAGAGTCGACTCCTGCCATAAAGGACGCTACTTTTGCCACGATCAACTATACCTGTACAGATATAACATATACGTTTCTCCCCCTTTTTGGCATCAGTAAAGAGGGAACAAACCAAGAAATAAACAGAATATATAGCATCAAACAGTAGAGTTATAGTCCAAAAAAAAGAAAAACAAAAATTGTCCAATGACTGAGATAACAACCCAAAAACAGCACAACAAGATATTGTCTTAAACAACCACATTAACGTCGCAGAAAACAAGTCAGGGTGTTGCAGATGGCCTCCTTCAATTGTTCAAAGCTAGCATTGGCTGAGATGTTCACTCCATCAAACCTATCATGAATTTCCCTGAAGGCTTTGACAACATTCTCCCTAACTCTGAGAACAACAACTCGAATCTTGGACACATCAGACCCTGTTTCCTTGGAGATGGCATGAATGTCACCAATAGTAGACTGAGTGGCTGTGAGAAGATTTTTTATTTCAGAGAGTTGAGAGTCAATAGCACAAAGCTTTTCACCAAGATCAGGATCACCAGGGTTGGGATGAGGTACAGAGGGTTTAGATTTGGGCTCTATAGGAGCATGCTTTGCTTCACCTTCATGCTTCTTAACCCAGGAGCCCTTCACACTCATA